TATTATATAAATAGAATATTAATGTATTTATGTAGTAAAGTTCAACTTGCTCTTAACAACCCACCACAGGGAATCAGAGAGGCTTATAGGTGAACACAGACCACCTTAGGCAAATGAAGATGGAAGTGACCAGATGCATCTTAAAAACTAACTCATGGCGACCCCATGTGGTCAGAGTAGAACTGTGTCCCTTTGGATTTCAATGGCTGACTTCTCAGAAGTAGATCATGAGACATAGAAGTTTTCCCTAGATATTGCCAAGATGGAAAAAAGATGAAACAGTAGAACGTGTAAAGGTTAAACCCATCTTCATAAAGGATTGGAAAACTTAATTGATGATAAACACATATCAAGATGGGTGAAGGGAAACAAAATATGTAATGAGTGAATGAGCAGACTGTGTACATTGTAAATGAGGTTATGGAACAAAATGTGCATCGATGATTGTGGGAAAGTACACTTTGTAAACTCTCACTCAAATTACAGTTTAAAAAAATGAGAATAAATGGGATTGATACACAAGTGAGACGTGCTTCCACTTCATCAGCGTTTTTGTAAGTCTTCACCAGTGAAAGAACACACAGTTCCTCTCTCTTCAGTCCCACCATGCTCCAGGAGAGGCGGGAAGCCCCCTTTGTCGTGGGTAATCTCACTGGGTAGCTGTGTGGTATCATGAGCCCATCTCCATGGGAACAATCTCTCATGTACATGAATTACTCATGAAAACACATACTTCCCTTCTTAAAGACTAAGAGTCACTTTAGTATCATTTTCTTGGGACATTTTTCATTTTATCACCTCAAATTTCCCAATTTCCAAGTGATTAATTCTTTGAAAACTGTGCAGGATTTACCCCAAATGACTACTAATCAAACAATAAGGGCTCTATAATCTAAATTCAGAGGTCTAGGTTATTGCTGATTCTCCTTAATCTTTAGTTCTTACAATACACACCATCAGAGAGGTAAGGCAAAAAAGCATAATTTCTCTATTTACCTCTGCATTGGAAAAGTTTGCAGTTCTTGTGAATTCTTCCAGGTGTAGGACCTACAGAGGCAAGCACAAATCTATTTTCAGAGGCTCTTCCAAAACACCAGACAAACGAAGGGTGGGGGGGAGAACTCTTTTATATAAATGCCAAACTCATGGACATTTTTATGAACTCTAGTTTCACTCCCTTCTCTTGTAAGATTCTTCATTTTACTGCCATTAAGAAGAAGAAGAAGGTGGTGGTGGTGGTGTGATGTAAAGGGCCAGTGTGCTGTGAATCTCAGTTGCAGGAGGACCTTAGCAAGGGCCTCTTGCGTCCTGAGGAGGGACACACACATAAGAAACGCTCATCCACAGATCTTATAGCTTTCTTTTTGTCCCAAGTGGGTGTCAGCAGAGGGCACTTGGTAAATATAAGTCTACAAAATAATATCTATTATGTACTCTTTGGCAGAGGTCTAAGGGTAAGAAAGTGCTAGAGATGGGGTGTAGCACTGCCTTTAAAAACAACAATGATAACAGCAAGTCCATTGTCAGAAAGCCAGTTCTAATTCTCAGTGACCCTAGAGGACAGAACAAAGCTGCCCGACAGGATTTTCAAATCTACAATCATTTCAAAAGCAGAAAACTGCCAGTTTTCTCCCACAGAGAGGCCAGTGAATTTGAACATGTAACCTTTCAGTTAGCAGCCCAGTTAACTAACTGTGTCAGCAAGTCTCTATTCAAAACCTTCAAACGCCCAAACTAACTGCTTTAAAGTCAGTTCTGAGTCAGAGTCACTCTACAGAACTGACCTCTCAGGTTTCTAAGGCTGTCATCTTTATGGAAGAAAACTGGCCTGGCTTTTTTCCAAGGAGCCACTGATAAGTTGAAACCATCTATCTTTCCTCTAGGTAGTGTAGCCCTGGTGTACAAGTTGCCGTACCACGGTCACTTGTTGCTGTGAGGCTGAACACTGTGACACTGATGTGTCAAATGCATTAATGTTTGGCTACCCAATGCGGACAGAGAGTGGGGTGGAGCTCCCTGATTAAAACAAGCTTGGAAGGAAGAGTGGCATCCACTTCCATAATAGCTTGCCTCCGGAAACCCTATGAACCTGGAGAGAGGATGAAAGGCACCCAAGCATCAAGGACTCTCCTTCATAGGGTCCCTATGAGTCGCCTGTGAATCGACGGCACTTACCAACAACAACAACCTTTCAGTTAACAGCTTAACTCTTTAACCACTGTGCTACCTACCATGGCTTGGGGGAAAGATACTATAATTTTCCTAAGAGAAAAGATTGAAACTGTCAATGATTTCTTCTTCCTTGGATCAACAATGAACACTGTTCGTACCAGCACTCAAAAACCAGGAGATGTGTTACCTTGGACAAGCTGCTGTCAGGAACCTCTCCAAAAAGCTGAGAACAGTAATATCAATTTGAAGAGTAAATGCCTGATTTAGGCCATTGTCTTCTCAATCACCTGCTGTGCATCTGAGAGCTGGACAATGACTAAGAATGACAGAAAAAAGAGTTGATGCCTTCGATTTGTGGTGCAGGAGAAGAGGACTGAATACCCCATGGATTGCCAAAAGAACAAACAGAGAAGTCTTGGGAAAAGTGCAGCCAGAGTGCTCCTTGGAGGCAAAGATGGTGAAGCTTCATCTTTCATACTTTGGACACGTAGCTAGACAAGACTACTCTTTGGAAAGAGGCCTCATCCTTGGAAAGATGGAGGGTTAGCAAAGGAGAGAGACGAAGATTCCCAACCAGATGACTAACATGGTGACGTCAGCAATGAGCTTGGGTGTGCCAGGGATGAAGAAGATGATGAGGACAGGGCGGGGTTCAAGTTGGCTGTCCAAAGGGTTGCTAAGAGTTGGACTCGACTTGATGGCATCAGAAAACAACAACAAAAACCCCCAAGATGGAAAAGGGTTGTGTCTGTGATTTTTAAGAGCAGAAATATGAAAAATAAATAATGGTTATGGAGAGGTAAGACAAGATCTGTCTCAGATTCAAGACTGTCTGAATGTTTCTTAATAAGCCACATTGCACCATTATATTCTTCATATCAGAACACTCCAAAGAATCTGGGCATCCTATTTTCTGATTTGTAACAGAGGGAATTTAGGCAGAGAGTTCAGACTTGGAATTTCATGTCCTCTTGATGACAAGAAAACAATATGAAGACTTGACAACAGCAAAATACAGTTAAGAAATGAGCTAGCGAGGACTCACTTAGAATATCTGTATGGGTTCCTAATTCAAGGACGTAGTTAAGCAGAATGCTGAACACTCAACGTGTTCTTATCATCTGATGCTGGCTACTGATCCGTATCTCAGCACAAAATAGTTTCCGTTTCGGTGAAACAAAGCATAGGAGTCAGACTTATTAGAATGTAAAGCTAACTTCACAAATTGGGGAGCACTTTGGGGATCCTCATTGACAGCAAGCAGACCCTGGGAAGCTAAGGTTGCAGAAAGGTGGGGTGGGCATGGGTCTTTCTGTTTTACCATGGGTTGGGTTGACTTCATCGAGAGATTCTGTGCACCCCGGCAGTGACCTCAGCTGAGACCCCTGTACTCTCTGTCCTTCAGGATAGAGCTTATCTTGTGCATCTCTTTCAAAGAAGGTAATTCTGTAGGTGATTTTAAGTAACAGTTTGCTTGTTCATGGAGTGAGTTGTGTATTTGAGGACAGTGCATGGACATCACTCACTTGTCCTCTAGATATGATTGGAAGTGTGTTTGTCACCTACCTTCTTCATCTCAGAGGCACTATTGCCTCTAGCCCCCAAAAGCACCATGGCCAGGGTGGACAAGAGACCCAAAGGAGAAAAGACCAGATTCTCTGTAGTATGATCAGAGCTCATTTCTTTAAAGACATCAAAGCAGAACTGAGCAGTAGCAACGCTGAAAGAGTCCATTGCTCTACCTGGTGTCTGCAAGACAAAGGAGAACATCACTGACTACGTGTGGGTCAGGACAGAGCTAGCTGACAGTTTATTGTCAATTTCAATAAGAGTCATTTCTATTCTGTGAAACCTAAAGACTGAAAGAGGGGCTTTATGGAAGCAAAACAAAACAAAAAAAAAGGCTCAGATTTGGGGGGATCAATTGATCAATTGCATCATCGACTGTGCCACATTCCAGCTCTATGGACTCTTAATGACCTTAATAAGCTCTGAAGAGAAGTACTGAGCCAGCAGGTTTCATGTGTGTTTTCTCATTTAATCCCCACAGCAAATTCAAGGGCAGGATATTTGCTGTGATGCTCTTGTGATTCACAGATACCCCCCAGACCAGGGCCTTCCCCTTTCTTTCTTTTTTTTTCTTTTGTAAAGCCCTCTTTATTTTTCTGCCTTCTCAACCATTTTTTTTTCTCTCTCAAGTACAAATCTTACTTGGTTCCACCCCCCTTTTAAAAAATTATTAATAATGAATGGAAATCCAGAGTCTCTGTAAATTTCCTCCTCTATTCTGGAAGTTTGAGCAGCTGAATTCTCTCCCTGGGAATTGTGTTTGTCAATGAAGGTCAGGAAGGCCCCCAGGAACCCAATGAAATAACCTCAGTGACAGTCAGTAGAGAAAACAAAGTCCCCTTTGCCTCAGATGAGATAATTTTGTAAGATTTTTCAAGATCCAGTTTACATTATCCATCTCAGAGCCCATGTCTCAGAGAATCCAACCAAAATATTGTTATTATTGTTACTTTTTTCTTTCTTTTGTATTGTGATTGATGTGAATGTTTACCTTTCTCGCACATTTTGTCTTATAACATAAATTGCAATATTCACAACACAATGGGACTCTTCTTTCTTCCTCCTGGGGATTCCCATTTCCATTAATCCTTCTGATCTGATCCACTCTTCCCTGCCTTCTGGAGCTTCCCCTTGGTTTAACACGGCTCTTTTGACCTTATGTGGTTGGAATTTGTAAGGAATGCCTCCCTCCTCAATGATACGGTTGACAGGTCTGTAGACCTGTCTATTGTTTAGCTGAAGATTGAACCTCACTGGTAAATTGTGTTTTCAGGATCAAAGTATGTCCAAAGGTCACAGGCTCAGGGATTCCTCCAACCATTGTTACACCAGTGAGTCTGACCTTTTAATCTTCTGAGGTTTTGATCCCTACTTCTCCCAACATTGTCCATGACCGTCTACTGTGATCTCTTTTAGGATGGCCAGAAGTTGTAGTTGGGCATCATCTTGTTTTTCTGGTCTCAGGATTTCATGTAGATGTAAAATTGATCTTAAATGCCAAAGCCAACGACTCTCTTCATCACAGATGCTTTGAGAAATGCTCAGGCCTGCAGAACTCCTCACATGGGTTCTCTGGGCACGGACTTGTACTAATCTTTAAGAACATTCTGCACTCCCCTTTCCACATCTCAGAACATTGTGCACCTTCCACTGTGGTGTCTACTTATAAGATTTAAGATTTTATAATACCATATTCTGAAAGGAAATCTACCAGAAGTTGTTGAAATAGTGACTCTATGGTCAGTAAACCAGAGAATTTCAATAGCAAAGCTGAGTAACTTGACTATTTTAATTTGAACTCCTGGCACATTTCACAAAAGAACACCTAAGACTATAAACCACAGAGGAATCTGAGATTTGAAAAATATTTGTATGTCACTGTACCATGCATAAACTGTATGTGAATAATTTAATAAGGCAACTTAGCCAAATAGAACAAATGTTGTGTGTGTGTGCGTGTGTGTGTGTGTGAGAGAGAGAGAGAGAGAGAGAGAGAGAGATTGATTTTATTGGTTTAATTAAACCTAATGCACTACTTCTTTTAACAGTGATAGTAAAATTAGAAATCTGATGGTCTTTCATTAGTGGAAACGAGAAGCAAAACCATTATTCATCAAATGTACTTTCACATACAAATTTTTTTTTAAAGCATGTGATAGGTGGAGAATGGGGATAATAAAATGATTCAAGGATAATGAAAAGTTTAGCTACCGTTTTTACCTGATACAGCTCATGGCCTGTACTTTGAAGACTTAAATTTAAGTAGTTTGTGAACCGCTTTAGAAAAGCTTTGCGAAAATGCACCATTTGTCTTACACATTTAGAAAGAGGAAAGAACCTCAACACAGTACGTTTTGTAAAGACACGTGAAAAGGAAAGCTTGTGGTTGCTGAGCCTGAGTGACCACGCTCACAGGGAAGTAATAATTCTTTCTTCTGAAAGATTTAATTAATATAATGTCTTGCCAATATCCAGAGGCCCAGCAACGTTTCCCAGCTTTTCCTAAAGGTGTGGTTCCCATAAAACACCCTTAAGAATTTCTCTACGGAAAAAGAGAAAGCTTAGATAACTAGGCTGGCAAGCTGTTTGCATTTTCTTGGGAGCCAGAAATTTTACCCTTTGCTTGAAAAATCACCACTCTATTCAGATCAATATACCTTTGAGTGTCTATTTCTGTATTGCTGGTTGTTCTATCAGAGCTTGCTGGAAATGGCATTGAGGAGGGGAGAAGTAGACCAAGGTTATGAGAAAATGAAAAGAGATACAAAGGCAAGGTTCCACTTCCATGTTTATGAAACACAAACCGAGTGGTGTTTCACTTGTCTCAACTATTTAGAAAGCTGGCAGCTCTAATGGTCACCCCCAAATTAAAAGCCATTCTCTTGATATTCTAGAGAATTCTAGTGAAATCAATAGAGTCCAAGAAGATGTTTGACCAATCAACTTAGTCAGTCATTGCTCTTCACAATAAAGCTTTAAAGTCATACACACGTGACCTCTAATATGAACTTTTCCTTTTGTGACACCTGTGAGTGAACTGTCTGACTTTCTTAAATTTGCCTTTATCAAATATGGGTATCAATAAACATTTTACAATTTAGTTCTGAACATTAAATGCAATAAAGACTATGAAGCCCCAGGCAGAAAATTTGTTTGGTAAATGTTATTTTATAACCTCCTATCCCATTGTCATTGAGTTAATTCTGACTTATAATGACCATAGAGGATAAAGTAGGACATCTCCTTAGGGTTTCCAAAGTTGTAATATTTATAGATGCAAAGAGCCTCATCTTTCTCCTGTGAAGGGTTGATGGGTTTGAACCACCAACCTTTGGGTTAGTAAGAGAGCACTTTATTCATATTACTACCAAGACCCCTTCCCCAAGTTGCTTCCATGGTTCCTTATATCTAGAAATATGGATTTAACTCAAAGAAGAGTCAGTAGCCATGAGAAGAATAGTACCAGACCTCACATTTCATTCTACAAATGGAGAAACTGAAGTAAAAACCAGGAGTATTTGCACAAGTTGAAAACAGCAAATTCAGAACTAACTCCCTATTTTCCTGATTCTCTATGTAACATGATTCCCTCTAATTTACCAGACAGAGATAAAAGCTATAAAAAGAGTATAAATGTTGGTACCACCGAGTACTCTTGTCTTTGAGTGCCTGTTGCCATTTACAAACAAATGATCTGTTCAGTTTCAGTCTTTTTGTCTTCAGAACCCTCATTTTTATGTCTCATGTTATGACACATAAAGGTTGGTAACAGAAACAATCAAATAAAAACTAACCTGGACATAATGACACAGGCACGTTTGTACCTCAGTATAAGTATCTGGCAAGAACTCACTCTACCTTCATCTAAATTCGGGTCCCTTTTCCCACTTCTTTATAGACTACATTCTCAGCACTCTTTTCCTTTGGTTACAACTGTACACAGTTCCCTAGACTTTTGTAGAAATGCAAAAGTCACCATTAGTCACAAAAATCTATCCCAAAAAAGGTTTGTGTTGTTACCTTGAGTTCAGGTTGGTTGACGTTCTACTTTGTTTAGTCCAGACCTGTGTCCACATCACACACACATTGCACTCAGTACACAGTACTTACTCCTCCCTGGTCTTCTTGGAACTTGCATAGGCCTTCTTTTCCTCATACTGTAAAGTGATTTAAAGCATTTATACAATGGGATATAGAATGAGCTCATTGACAAGTGAATAGTAATAGTTTTGTGTACACTGCTTTCGTGGAACCTTTCCTTTGAGGTTCTCCTCTGGTCTTGACTTTGTCAGTTCCTGCAACCATGTGAATCAAGTGAAAGCTCTAGTCTGACTATGGACTTGGGATGTGTAAGATTCCACAACTACGTGAGTCATTTCATGGAAATAAATTTTTCTATATATTTATTCCTCATTTATCAATATAAGTAAGTTCCAACAACCAAGTCATTTTGTGAAAATCAGTGGGATGCAAAAATGGATGCCACATCAGGTCACAAAGTGTAGGATGACTGTTGTATATATGTTTCACTTCTTTTGCTCCTCTCGAGAACCCAGCCTAAGAAATTAAGCACTGAGATTGGTTCTAGGGAAATGAAATTCTAAGAATGGATTTTCTGAATTTGGTCTCAGGTCAGGTTAGTCTTAAACGTGTGATGACTTTGCCTTCAGTAGTGACAAGAGCATGACAATAGAATCCATGACAACAGAAATGTGCAAAGTGTCAACACCATTGAATCGAATACTTATAAGATAGAAGACTCTGGGTTCCAATTATTAGATACGTTTCTACAGTTTAGGGAGTTCTAATAGCCTAGCAGGAAGCAGGAGTGGCATCCACTTCCTAAACAACATGCCTTTGGAAACTCTACAAACTTTGATAAATGTCGATAGTTGCAGAGGGGCTTCAGGTGTTTTGTTCATAGGGTCGCTATGAGTCGTGCTTGACTCAAAAGCAATCAACAACAACAATAACAAGTAGCTTAGTGGGTTGAGTTGTGCTGCCAACCAAAAAGCATGTGGTTCAAATCCATCAGCTGCTTCATGGGAAAAAGATGGGCAATCTCCTCCAATAAGATTTATAGTTTCTGAAAATCTACAGAAGGGTTAGCTGTAAGTAAATTTCAACTCTATGGCATTTATCTTTGTTCTGATTTGCGGTTTGGGGAGGTTTCTACACTTTTGTCAAAATTCAAGATATAGGGAGGCTTGCTGGAAAAGGTGAGATTCTCTGTTTTGAAATTGAAATATATTGAAAAATAGCCAGAGGAAAAAGGAGGTAGATAGAGAAGAAAAAGACTCAAAGTATTAAAAAATGATAACATTCTGATTTAGATTCTTTGCATTTCTAAAAAAAGTTCTTGTTTATGTAAGTAATAAAAATAGCCATCAAAAATAGAGCAGGAAATAAATAGATCATATAGCCCTCTCTATAAAACTCTAAAGTTAATGCACAGTTATTTTTTAAAATTAGTGTATACACAACAGTGAAATCTTAGATTATGGTCATTACAAAACAGAATTGGCAATATCCCACTATCAGACAACTGAACATTGTCTTTATCCTAAATAACATTAGCAGAAAATGTTACACAAACCATCACAAAAGCAGAGGAAGGCTTCACTGGGTTTTCAAGTTCTCAGACAGCAAAAAGAAGAAATGGGACAGTTTCTTTATTTATAGTGTAACTGAGAACCAGCTAGAATGACTGGTATATATAGATTCAAATCAAAGAGGATCTATGGATTTGAGTAGGAAAGTGTAAGAGATTTTCAGGAAATCCCTGTCCATTGAGATAATCAGCTCAGCTCCCTGAATACTCTGCTTAGCAGTTACTCTGGTTTCTTGGAATTTAAAATCTCTTTCTCGTCATCATCAAGTCAGAACCAAGTCATTACTGATCCTCTATCAAATTCTCAGAGGCTGTGAATTACACAGCATGGGATCGCCCACAATTCTCCCGCAGAGTAGCTGGTAAACTCAAACCACCCTTCTATGCACTGACAGCACAGCTCCTTACCCACCAGGCCACCAGAGTTCTCTAGAATTTAAAACTGAGATGTGCTATTACATGTTGAGTTGTTTAAGGACTCGCATAAGAACATGTGAGCAAGGGAAAAAGGATTCTTGATCGTGCTCTGGAAAGGAAATGAATTTATTAATGACCCTGAAACTGTCTTTTTTAAATTTTATTTTATTATTTTGTGTGTGTGTACCATCAAATCAGATCTGAGTGGTACAGGAGGAGATTGCCCCTCCTTCTCCAGCAGAGCATCTGGTGGATTCGAATACCTCTGGGATTGCAGTGCAGCTTCTTGCCACTAGGCCACCAGAGCTCCCGAACCTTGAAAACTTCTTATGAAGCCTCAGAGAATCTCCAACAATCTGACCTTGGAGACAGATAGCTTACCATCTACAGAGTTTAAAACTCTTCCATATAAAATTACTAAGAGAATTTTTGGGTTCAAGGAGAGAGAGAGAGAGAAGGGGAAGAGTTTACAAAGAAAGAATCAACTTCAGAGGGACTTCAGTTCATCTCTAGATGCTGTTCCCCAAGCAGTCCAAGGAACAGATACTTTAAAAAAAGTTTATAATTCACCAAGATAGATTATTTACAGAGCCAGGAAGATATTTTCAAAGAGATATGACCAGGTCTATTATTATTTATTACAATGACTTCTGTACTATTACTACCTATAAATATTTCTCCTAACAAAAGAACCTTTGCTGATTTCTCTTGTCCATAAAATCTCTTTCCTATAAATTCTCTGACTAATAGGAACAAGGGTGTGTGTCCTAAGTTTTTGTTCCATGAAGCCATTATGAACATTTAAAGGCACAGATCAGTCCAGGTGGTGACATTCAGAGCCCTGGGCGCCAGCACTCACTCAATGGCCATGTCTTTACTGTGTGATTTGCTGTGTGATACAATGGATGGTTTCTACCCACAATGCCCTAAAGTACACACCTCTGTGATTGTTATTCTTCGTCACCAGGTCAGCTATGACTCAGGCATCCTTCTTCCAACAGAAGGAATCTCGCCGGATCCTATATGGTCGTCACAATCTCTGTTGTTCTTAACCCTGTTGCTACAACAGGATTAACAGCCTGGGGGATCTGTAGGTGGCTACAAGAAATCTTTAGACTTTGTCAAATTATATGCATAAACTTATGTGTATGTGCATTTGTTCAGTACTTTAAATCCGATTCTCAAAGGGAGGTTTCAACTCCGAAGAGTAAAGAACTATGACAATCTGAGACTCCAACATCCTCCTGTGAGGACCCCTACAGTGAAGCCCTCCTTCCTCTGACACCCACCCCTATGCTATGACGACTGATGTCTAAAGACACTTAAAAGCTGCTAACTTGAGTCTTGAGTTCACTTGTGTCCTTACGCTGAACTCATCACAAAGCCCTAACAGCTCAATTTGCCTCCTATAACCTCTTACTTCATCTTCTGTGTGTCCCACTCTGTCCATCCTCAAGACCTGCTCTCTTATACCTCTGCTGGCCCACTGCCCCCTTCTTCCTGGAACAGTCAAGGAACACACCAGTCCAGTACCTGCATATCAGGAAGCAGAATCCTACAAAAAATGCAAGCCAGAGAGCATCATTCTCCTCCTTAGAGCCCTTCAGTGCATTTTATGCTAACTTTAGCTAACTTTAGGACACTTATTATCCTGGGTTAAGAGGGCCTTTCGGGCCGGCTGCCCAGCTCTTCAGGTCCATAAACATAACCGTAGCTCTAACCCTCTGCTACTCTGCCTTGTGAATCCTGTGCTCACACCTGCAGTCCTGCAAAGGAGCCGTGCAGACTCTCACCCCTGGGCTTTGGCACATACCACTGCTTCTCCTGGAATCATCTTCCTCTGTCCTCCACTTCCGTGAACCACCACTCACCCCTCCAGTTCTGGTTTCACATGCTCCTCCTCCAGGAAGGCTTCCAAACCGGCTAGGACAGGCCGAGAAATTTTTGCTTCATGTTCCCACAATACCCCTACCCGCATCACACCACAGTGCCTGGCAATTGTACAGTTCCTTCTACTGGAACAATTAGATTGTTGTTGCTGTTGTTGTTGTTGTTAACCACCACTAAATTGACTCTGATTCATAGCGACCCTTTGAACAACACATGTGAATCCTGCCTTATCCTGTGCCATCTTCACAATCTTCACATATGCTTGAGCCTCGTGTTAGAGTCTCTGTGTCAATCTGTCCCCTGGAAGATCTTCCTCTCTCAGGGTGCCAGTTCTGGAGGCTTTTTTCTCTCTTTGAGCTCTGGAGGAAAGTCCTTGTCTTCTCGTAGCTTTTGTTCCTGGACTTCCCATCCATCTCTCTTCCCCATCTGTGCTTGTTAACTTTCATTTAATCTCTTTTGAATCTCAAAAGAAATGTATTGAAGATATACCTTCCACTAATTCTCATTAACATAATAAAGACAACCCATCCTCAAACAGGATTTTAACAATATTAGGATTATCCACACATTCTTTTGAGGGATACAATATAATTCATAATAGAGACAAAGAGGCTATGGAATGAAGAATATCATTCGTGATCACAAATGGATCTTAGCTGAAAGCAGGAAATACCACATTTTGCTCATGCTTTATTGATTGGTATACAAAGTCATTTGTCTGTGTGTGTCATAATAAATTATGGATAATATTAAGAAGAATAGATTCTAGAACACTTAACTTTCCTCACGCAAAACCTATATTTAAGCCCAGAGCAAGTAATTTAAACAGAGCAAAGGGATATTTAAAATTAGATTAAAAATATATTTAGTTTAAAATTAGAAAACATGTGTGTAGAAGTGGTATATTTCCTTATACTCTTTCAGTCTCTATGCTTAGCAAACAATTTGAGAAGCTAGATTATATGAAAAAGAAGGTGGTATCAGGATTGGAGGATGAATGGTCAATGATCTATGCTTTGCAGTTGGTAAAATATTGCTTGCTGGGAGATGTAAAGCACTCGCTGAAGAAGATCAAAGACCACAGCTTTCAGTATGGATTATACTTTAATGTCAGTCAAACAAAACCCCATATCATCAGTCCAATAGGCAACAATATGAGAGATAGAGACTAGTTTAAAGTCATCAATGATTTCACTTTAATTGGATCTACTACAGTTGGTGTGTCCGAATTAGTGAGATTGACTCAGGACAGGAAAGGGTTCAGAGCTGCTGTACGTAGGGTCACTATGCATCGCAGGCGACTCAACCAATAACATTCTATGGCAGGTTTGGAAGCAGGAGTGGCATCCACTTCCTAAACAACATTACCTCCAGAAACTCTATGAACTTTGATAAATGTCGATAGTTGCAGAGGGGCTTCAGGCTTTTTGTTCATAGGATTGCTTTGAATCATGCTCGACTTGAAGGCAATCAACAACAACAACATCAACACCATCGTGGCAGCAATCAAAAACCCAAGAGATGTGTTGCATTGAGAAAATCTGCTGTCAAGAACCTCTTGAAAGTGATAAAGAACTAACGTGTCGAAAGTGTGCCTACTCTAAGTCACGGTAATGTCAATTGCTTAATGTGAACATGCAAGTAGAACAATGAATAAAGAAGACTAAAGAGTTTGCGTCTTTGAATCGTGGTGCTGGTGAGGAGTGTTGGACATAGAATGGACTGCCCAAAGAGCCAGGTAGTCTATGTTGGATAAAGTACGACTAGCGTGGTCTTTGGAGGCCAAGATGGCAAAACTTCCTCTCACATACTTTAGCGCGTTGTCAGAAGGCACTAGTCTTGGAAAACGACATTGTACTTGGATAACAAAAACGTCAGAGAAAGAGAAGAACAACTTCAAGGAAATGAATTGGCACAGAGAACAGAACAATGAACTTGAACGGAGATCATGAAGAGGGAGCTGGATGGGGTGAGGTGTCACCTTTTGTGTCTTTGAATGGTAATCAACTCAACAGCGCCTGTTGTTGTTGTCATTGTATGCTATCAAGTTGGAACTGGCTCATAGCTGACCCTTCAGTGGGTTTTCAGATGCAGAAACCTCAGAGGAAGAGATTGCTCATCCTTCTCCCACAGAGCAGTTGGTGGATTTAAACCATGTGCCTTTAGGATTATAGCACAGCTTCTTACCACTGTGGTGATGTCGTTAAAACCTGAGGCTGCTAACCAGAAGGTCAGAAGTTTGAACCCATCTACTAACTGCTTCCTTAGGAGGAAGAAGTAGAAGTGGGCTTCCGTAAAGATTCATAGTCCTAGCAACCACATTGAGAAGCGCTGCTCTGGCCTACAGGGTGGCTACGAGTTGAAAGTGACTCAGTGGTTATGGGTTTGGCTTTGTTCTTTTCTTGTCTTACTCAAAAAGATTTAAATAGGTATATCTCCAAAGGTTACTGAAGCCATCTGCTATATGGTAGCACTGGTGGTCTAGTGGTAAAAAGTTGTGCTGCCAACCCAAAAGCACACAGTTCAAACCCAACAGCTGTTCCATGGGAGACAGATAGGCAGTCTCCTCTTGAATTATTTCCCACCTCTGAACACCCACTGAAGGGTTAGCTGTGAGTTAGTTCTGAATCAATGGCTCATAACAAAACCAGAGAGGTGCACATACAGAAGGAAATTATTTTTTAAGAGGAGAAGAGCTGTGTAAACAGAATGCAGAAATATAACCATGAAAGACACAAAGTCATTGAGAGTATAAAAAGAAATCGGGGAGCTGGCCTTAGACGAAAGTCATTCATGAGGCCTCATGTTGATTGGAACTCTTACTTTAGAGTGTAGTGATTATGTTCATGTTACAGGACACACTGAGACCCTCCTGTACATCAAGTGTGGCAAAGCAGTTGTTATGTATTTCAGTCAAGGTAGTTCTGACATCTTTCTTTTTATCTTCAAAGCCTCTATTTTTATTTAAGTTATGTCCACAAGTACTAGGAGTTAAGATTTTAACATATTTTGGGAGATACATTTTTCCCCATAACAAGTAATATTGCAAAATCAATTATCTCAAAATATTTATTAATTAATAGCCAATATTTATTTTGTTGTTGTTATTATGTGTCATCAAGTTGCCTGTGATTCATAGTGACCCTATGTGTAATAGCTCTGAACCCTGCTCTAGCCCGAGACAATTTCATTGTCTCTGACACAGCAAACCCCAGTACCCAGTCACTGAGTCAATCCACCTCATTAAGGGTCTTCCTCTTTTGCATTGTCCCTCCACCCTTCCAAGCATGGTATTCCTCTCCACGGACTGGTCCCTCTTTACAACATGTCAAAAATATGTCAGATGGAGCTTCAGAATCATTGCCTCCAAGAAGCAGCCTGGTTTTACACTCTCCAGGATGAACCTGGTTGTTCTTCTAGCAGTCCATGGTGTATTCAATACTCTTCTCAAGCACCACAGCTCAAAGGCATCAATTCTCCTTCTACCATTCCTAATAATTATCCAGCTTTCTGATGCACAGAAAGTAATTGTGAAGACCATGGCCTGCGTCAGGCACACCTTACCTTCCAGACTGACATCATTGCTCTTAAGTACTCTGGAGAAGTCCTTGACAGCAGATTTTCCCAATGTAACTTGTCTTTTAATTTTCTGGTTGCTGGTACCAAGAATGTTGATGATGGAGCCAAGGAAACGGAAGCTGTTAACAGTCTCAATCTCTTTCCCCACTATCATGATGCTGTCAGTTGGTTCAGTGGTGAGAATCCTTGTTTTCTTCAATTCATATTGAAGGCTCCAGTCCTTGACATTGTGCAGCAAGCACTCAAGGTCCTCCTTGGTTTCAGTAATCAAGGTTGTGTTATCTCCATAACACAAGTTGTTTATGTGCCTTTCTCCAACCCTGATGACACTTTCTTCCTCATAGAGGCCAGCCTCCGGATGATCTGTTCCACATACAGATTGAAAAGGTGTGGAGATAGGACACATCCCTGGCTTCCACCCTTCCTTATTTTGAACATTTGAAAATTCAGAGTCCTGTAGAGGTTATACAAACTTTTTAATGGTAATGCATCTATCTAACCAAAAGGCAATACTACACTATTCACTTATTCTTAAATTTGGACTTATTTTTAAATTTAGAACATTATTATTATTATTTTATTGTCATTGTTTTGAACCTGTGGGTCTTTCATTTCCATATATAAATTTTAATCAGTGTGTCAAGTTATAAAAATAAAAAAAAATCCAAATAGATTTTCATAGTGATTGTTTCAAATCTCTAGATCACTTTAGGAAATTTCTTTTTCTTAAATAAGATTTTTATTTTCTACTGGTTTGCTTACAAGTTTTGTGTACATTGTTTTCCACACCAGCTCTTTCCCGATTCCTTTCTCTTTCCTTCCACCCATCACATTGTGTGACCCTATGATTACAACGCCTCCCCCATCCTCTCCCCTCTGCTCTTACCCTCCCCCCTTGGATCCTCCTACATGGTTTATGAGTTATCTATTGCCACAATAATGGTCTTAAACAGTATTTGTCTGACATCTTTCAAATGATGTCATGTTTCCTGATTGATGCTATATTTATGGAGCCCGTATTTGTGCATGTGTAGGGAAATATGGATGTCTTCCAGTCACTTGGCCAGATTTCTTGGCACAACTTGGTGAGCACATCCAAGGTGGGACCTGTCTGTTGAAATAAGTCAATTTATATCCTATCAACTTCTGGGGTCTTGTTCTTTGCCAACTCCCTGAGAGCAATTTTAATTTCCTCCTTCATCATCATTGTCTCTTGATCATATGCTCTTTCATCAAATTCTTCAGTGTCGGCCAATTATTTTTGGTGCAGCAACTCCATGTACTCATTCCGTCTTCTTTTAATGCTTCCTCGGTCATTCCATATTCTGCCCATAGCATTCTTAAGTATTGCAACTCGAGGCTTGAATTTGTTCTTCAGTTCTTTCAGCTTAAGAAATGCCAAACGAGTTCATCCCTTTTGGCTTTCCAACTCCAGCTCTTTGTCATTTTCATTATAATATTTTGCTTTGTCTTCCCAAGCTGCACTTTGAAATCTCTTTATCTCCTTAATTTACTGATTCCTTCTCTTTGTTTTGGCTTCTCAGCATTCTACCTTAATTACAGGCTGTGGCACTAGAGACATTATTTCCAACATCAAATGAATCTTGGCTGAAAGTGAAGAGTATCAGGAGAGTGTCTATCTGTGTTTCATTGACTGTGCAATGGCATTTGACTGTGTGGATCACAACAAATTGTGGCTAACCATGAGAAGAATGGGAATCCCAGACAACTTGATTGTGCTCGTGTGAAACCTATGTTTGGACCAGAAAGCAGTCATCAGAACTGAGCAAGGGAACATGTTATGGTTCAAAATCAGAAAAGAAGTGTGACAGGGATGCATTCTGTCTCCTTACCTTTTCAATCTATATGCAGAATAGATCATTCAGGAGTCTGAACTTCAGGAGGAGGAATGTGGCATCAGAACTGGAAGAAGACTTATCAACAATCTGCATTATGCAGATGACACAACCTTGTTCACAGAAACTGAAGAGGACCTGAAGCATCTGATGCAGAAATTCAAAGATTGCAGTCTTCAGTAAGGGTTAAATCTCAGCATCAAGAAAACAAAGATTCTCACCACTGAGTCAATTGGGCCAATTGGCAGCACTATGATAAATGGAGAAGAGATTGAGGTGGTTAACAACTTCAGCTTGCATGGATCCACAATCAACACTCTTAGAACTAGCACTCAAGAAATCAGAGGATGAATTTCTCCAGGGAAGACTGCTGTCAGGGACCTCTCCAAAGTGTGAAAGAGCAACGATGTCACTCTGGAGACTAAGATATAGCTGATTCAGGCCATGGTCTTCACAATTACTTGCTCTGTATCAGAGAGCTGGACAATGACCAAAGATGACAAAAAATTGATGCCTTTGAGTTGTGGTGCTGGAGACTAATATTGAACATACAATAGACTGCCATGAGAAAAACCATGTTCATCCTGGAGAGGGTGAAACTAGGCTGCTCCTTGGTGGCAGGGATTTTGAAGCTTCGTCTCACATATTTTGGGCGTGTGGACCAAAGGAACAAGTCCCCGGAGAAGGACATTATACTTGGAAGGGTGGAGGGACCGTGTAGGAGAGGAAGACCCCAGATGAGATGGATTGACACAGGAATGAGGATAATGCAGGTAGATGTGTCAGAGACAGGGAGAATGGCTCAGGATACAGTAGGGTTCAGAGCTATTGTAAATAGGGTCACTTTGAGTCATAGGTGAATTGGTGGCACATAACAACAAAAGCATTTGGTGAAAATTCTCTGACAGGCCTCATTCTAAGTATCCCAATTAAGCTATATTTGCTACAAGAAAGCCTTATTTATCTCTTCCCTATACAAGCAAAATTTTTGATGAAGACATAACTTAAAAGGATTATAAAATCCTAAAGAAATCCCATATGGCCTACTAGTTATCAATATAGTTTTCAATCTGATTTAGATAGCTATAACTTATTAAAAATAATCATACTTGCACATCAAATACTAATTTTCACTAATTGATTTAAATCTACTATTTGAAAATAAGCTCATTAGCCAATGGAAGTATCATTCAAGGTAATATTTATATGTAATAAATTATCAACACACCAAATCAGATTTATATTTGAAAAATATTCTTTTCATTGATTGCTGCTTGGCCTACAAATAGGAAATAAAGGAAGTATTGATTACATCATATGTAACCAAAGGACAACCATCAAACTGTACAGGTGCTTTTATATTTCTTTATTCAGATAAATACAGAAAAATTAAAGAATTGTGCTGCCAGTACAAAAGGTACATGGTTCGAATCCACCAGAAACATGGAACACCTCCCCCATGAGGTTTACTGCTTCTGAAAACCCACTGGAGGGTCAGTAACAGGTCGGTTCCAACTCAACAGTCCAAAACTACAGCAACACAGCATATGAAATAACCATGACTAACAACTTTCAACAGATTAAAGACATTTAATCTTCAAAAAAAGCCCCAACAAATTATGTACATCTGAAGTCCTTATCAAAGATAGAGCAAAATATGCCCATTCAAAATTATTCTTAAAACATTTGGGTTGTTCCTCAGGCCCAGTACCTGTTTTTTAGACTCTATATTATACACTGGTTTCAATTGTGAAGTCTTAAACTTTCATATTTTCTTAAGTCACCAGAGAAATTTATTTCTTACAGTTTGGCTTATTTCCTGGATCGTTTTCGATGAAATTAGAATATCTACCATAAACATGGAGTTTCTAAAAGAGATTCTTAAGACTACTTCTGTGTATCACTAGCAATGTCCACAGGTCCCAGCTGTAATGTACGTTTGTATAAGAGTAGCTGTTAGGGAGAGGGAGAATCTTAGAAATGAACTGGCTAGAATTGCAATGAATTTAGGAGCGGCCGAGGCATGTTGGAGGAAGACTGCTTAGGAGCAAGGACCGAGACAATCCGCCACATTGTCTCAGAGAGACCAAGTCATCAATGCCAACTGCTGACCAGTACAAAGAGAAAGTCAAAGGAAATACCACCTACTTCCAGCTAAAATCTATTCAATTGTCATGGCCTTTCATGCTGCATAACCCGTCTTAAGATGAAGCCATTTGGTATTCAAGGGCATGAGACTTTGCCACTGAACAGGATGATGTCACCCTTTCGGAGGAGAAACAGGAATGGGTGGTCAGCTCTGAACGTCACTGAGCTGGGCAACTGTTTCTCCACAATGTTAGTTCCCGTTGTCGCTGCTGCCTCGGTGCCCTCCTCGGAGACTTCTATGTATGACTTGTGGGTCAGCTTCGACAAATACAGACGGCCACCTGAAGCTATGCCAGAGAGATCAGCTCTGGACTCATCAAAGATATCTTTCACACCCAGTGCTTTTAAATACTTTTTGACTTCGTAGTTTTTCTCTATCTTGAACCGTGGAAGAAACAAGTCAACATAGCGAAAGCTCATCTTTCTTGGATTGGTCCAGTCCATTAGATTCCGAAAGGTGAGCTGGTTTTCAATCTGGTAGAATAAAGGAGAGAGGTGATTTAGAATGATGAGGTCAAGGAGCAGACAAACCAACAGCTACAAAGACATATGGTCTTCCACAATTAGCCCTTCTGAATATTTGCGCTTCAATATGTATGTGTTGTGCTGCTACGTGAAAGGTTGGCAGTTCAAATCCACCAGCAGCTTCTTGGGAGGAAGTTGGGCAGTATCTTACTGTAAGGATTTGCAGCATTGGAAAGCAGGTAGAGGGTTGTCTTCAGTGGGAATCAACTCCTCAGAGTGTGTGTGTGTGTGTGTGTGTGTGTGTGTGTGTGTGTACGTGCGTGCACGTACAGAGAGCAAGAGAGAAAGAGAGACAGGAAGAAAAATAGAGGCAGAGACAGAGTCCTTTAGCTGGTGCAAATGATTACACGCTCAACTCCCAACTAACTGTAAGACTGGCAGTTTGACCCTTCCACAGGTACTTCAGAGGAAAGACTTGATGATATGACACTGGAAGGTCAAGGTCACAGCCTTGAACACTTTACAGAGTGCAGGTCTCATCTGTCCCATGTACAGTCATCGGAAACTAGAAGTGACTCAGTGGCAACTGGTTCTTCAGAAGGAAGTCGGGCAATCTCTTCCTATGCAATTAGGAGTTGGTTCCAACTCCATGGTACATAATGAAACAACAAATCTAGTGAACCTCTTTTCCTCATATCACAGGGGTGGGATAGGAATGAGATGATATAAATCAAATGCATAGCACATGGTCTAACTCAATAAGGTCATTGCTCAATAAATTATATTACTACCTTGGATCCCTGGTAACAAAGTGGTTCAAGTGTTGGGCTACTAACCAAAAAGTCAGAGGTTCAAACCACTCTGCATTCAAAGCCACTCTGCTTTGGAAAGGTGAAGCCATCTGCTTCCAGAGAGATTAGCAGACTTGGAATCCCAAAAGAAAGTTCTGCCCTGCCCCACGGAGAGTGTTTTAACAGAAATGTCTCAACAGCACTAGTTGTATGCTTTCATTACGGCTTTTGATGGGGATATCAGGGTAGGGAAATGAGGTCTAGACCTGTACGATTGAAGGGTCACAAATTCAGAGAACACAATCCAGGAGGAAGAGAAGAGAGCCAGAAAACAATCAAGATCTGAGATGCAAAGATGACCACAGGCTGCCCTGGCACCATAGCCTGCTTCGCCCTGAGCTGTTCCCTGCTTCTACGGTCCAATTGCAAAGAACTCCCAGTCTCTGATGTACATAGAGTTAAATGCATTTTAATACTCAAAGCCCCAGACTTCAAAAGTTCTCACGTCATACCTGCCTGAATCTGATGCTCAATCTGCCAAAGTCACAACAGCACACAATAACTTGGTTTTGTCTTTGGGCCTCCCTAGTGGAGATTTTGAGTCTCAACTTCACAAATATTCAACTCAAGCTAGACTAAAAGGAAGTAAGTCCATTTCAATATCTAGAACAATTCCTTGAACATAGTAGGTTCCCTCCAGATATCTGTCAAATGAACAAATGAGTCAGTCTCTGATATTCCAGCTGTCTGAAACCTTAAAGTTAACATAAAAAAAAAAATCAAGAGCAGTCTAAAATAACAATTCAACTTTTCAACAAAAATTCTATAGAAGAATTCTTCTGATCAAAAGGGAGAGAATTACAGAACATAATTTCAAATCCTCATAGATTACAGACTTTCTTTAGCTATTGTGACTGGGGGGCCTCCCAAAACTGCTGACCTGGGGAAAATATCTAAGCTTTAAGTTTAAAAAAATTGCTCTTTGAAGCCTTCTTTAAACCAATCACTCCCTCACTTTTGCCATCAAGTTAGAACCAAGTCAGCTACCCTTCACTGGGGTTTCAACACTGTAAATCGCACGGGAGGAGTTGCCAGTCTTTGTCCCATGGCACTTCTGGTGGATTAGAACCACTAGAGAGAGAGAGAGAGGTGGCATCTTCAGTAAAGAACGTCTGTCTTGAACATTGTGTTCTTTAAAGACCTGACAATCTGTAAACAGTTGATAACAACAACTTGAAAAGTTAGATGGAAAACTTGGAGTGAGTTTATGTTAGTGAAGGATGAATAATTCTAAAAGGAGAGTGAAATGGTGGATAGCTTGAAGATGTAATTAACATCATTGATTTATACATGCTAAAACTGTTGAATTGATGTATGTTTTCCAAAACAGTGAAGTTCAATGGGGGTGGGTGGGGTAGTCAATCCTAAAAGCCTTACTTCCCAATGGTGAGTGGTGGTGGGAACTTACTTGGGATATATCTCTCTCCGGCAGCAGGATGTACATGCTTATGCCCCCACGATATCTTAGCTGAAGGACCTGCATAGGTGGGTCCTTAACGACAGACAGGTTGAACTTCTGTTCTTGATGCATCATGAGAACTTCTTTCCCAGGACACTAAAAATCAATTCATGAAAAGAAAAATTCAGACACCTATCTTAGTCACTTATTGATCAAGTACATTGCCTTAATTTTTGCTCAACTGGTCTTGTAGAGTTCTTCTGATTTCCTACCTAGAATGATCGCCTTGGCAAATGTCTTCATGTAGGTTGTTGTTGTTGTTATGTGTCATCGAGTCACTTGCAACTCATAGCGACCCTGTGTACAACAGCTTTAAACCCTGCTCTATCCTGTGCCAATTGAACTGCCTCTGACACACCCATCCTGATTACCCCAGTCACTGAATCAATCCTCCTCATAGAGGGTCTTCCCCTCTTGCTCCGTCCCTCCACCCTCCCAAGCATGATGTCCTTCTCCAAGGACCTGTCCCTCCTTAAAACATGTCCAAAATATGTCAGAGGAAGCCCCAGAATCCTTGCCTCCAAGGGGCAGCCTGGTTTAACCCTCTCCAGGGTGAATCTGTTTGTTTTCTTGGCAGTCCATGGTACATTCAATACTCTTCTCCAGCACCACAGCTCAAAGGCATCAATTCTCCTTCTATCCTTCCTAGTCATTGTCCAACTCTCTGATGCATAACAAGTGATTGCAAAGACCATAGCCTGTATCAGACGCAGCTTATTCTCCAGAGTGACACCATTGCTCTTCAGTACCCTGGAGAAGTCCATAACAGCAGAATTTCCCATCACGATACGTTTTTTTATTTCCTGGCTACTGGTGTCAACAGTACCAGTGGTGAGACTCTTTGTCCTCTTGACATTAAGCCTCAATCCATACTGAAGGCTGCAGTCCTTGACCCTCTGAAGCAAGCATTTCAGGTCCTCCACAGTTTCAGCAAGCAGGGTTGTGTCATCTGCATAACGCAGATTGTTACTAGATCTTCCCCCAGTCCTGATGTCACACTTCTCATAGAGCCCAGCCTCCCGGATAATCTGCTCTGCATACAGGTTGAAAAGGTATGGAGACAGGACGACATCGCTGGTGTACATCTTTCCCAATTTAGAACCATGCAGTGTTTCCTTGCTCTGTTCTGATGACTGCCTCTTGGTCCAAGTATAGGTTTCTCATTAGCACAATCAAGTGTTCTGGGAGTCCCATTCTTCTCAGAGTCAGCCACAGTTTGTTATGATCCACACAGTCAAATGCCTTTGCATAATCAATGAAACACAGATAGACATTCTTCTGGTATGTACTTAAAAAAAATCTGACTGCCAGAGTTTTCAACTTCCTGGCTATGTGGTCTTAGACATGTTCTTAAACTTCTGTGTTGCATCTGTATTTTTATTTCTATAATGAGTATGACAGTAGTTTCAAGCACATAGTTTTTTGAGGGCCTTTTGAACAAATGTATCTAGCTCCTGGTACATCACTTTGCTTCTTCTGTCTCATCAGAAAAATGCAAATTTAAGTGTAAATGTAAACTTAAATGTAAGTGTCCATGTAAATACCAAAATGAATAATGATTAGATAGCATTAAAATAAAAAACAAATGCTGGAAATTTTCCCCTTAATATAATTTAAAAATAAATAGACTAGTATTATCAGAAGTATCCAAACTAAAAGCTAGGGGATCTTTTAAAAATTCTCAATTTCTGCAAAATATTTAACAATATCCATTAGTTTAACAGAGGAAACATACACCAAAAATGTTCATATGTCCATCTCATTTCACTTATCAACACAGTACAACAAGAACAGTGTTATCTATTGTTATCTTAATGCTATCAAGGTCCTGTCTTGAGAATATCATTTATAGATTTAGAAATGTCATGTTGTTAGTTTCCATTGAATCTGTCTCAGTTTCAACAGAGAGGAAATGCTTTTTTAAAAATTTTATTTTATTCAATAAAAAACCCAGAAGAATAGATCACCTTGGTTAAAAAACAAAACAAAACAAAAAGAACCCCAAACCAAAAAGCCACAACATAACAACATATAGGAATGATTGTATGAAACACAATGTGAACGAAGTGTAAAACACAATATACTAAAATTTTGTATGTAAACAAATAGAAAATCATTTTTTTTAAGTTAAAAAAAAAAAACAGAGAGGAAATGCTACGGAAGGAAAACTCTCTAAGGAGGAGAGTTATAAGTAGAAGTGCCAGACCTGAGGAGATTTGAAGCAAGTCTTTAGAGTGTCACTCTTGGTGAAGGCTGATTCCCACTGGCCTTTGAAGTACACAGCATTCACCAGCACCATCACAGCAGACGAGCTAATGCTGCCTTCCTGGAAGATGTTCTTGATTTTGCCTTTTGAAAAAAGATGGTGGAAATATGAACATTTTAGGAGTAGTTGTCATTGTTGTTGCTCACTTTCAGCATATAGTGGCTCTATCTACATCAGAATGAAATACTGCTTCATTCAATGGGCTCTGGGAATCATCCATGAGAAATTACTGTATCCAGCTCTATGTAAAACTAGGCGTGATATTTTATTTACTGCACACAAAATCTCAGTGAGATCATCACTACCATTAATTGCTTCTGGTTAAGGAAGCTGAAATATTGAGAGACTAAGTAATTTTTACAAAGTCAGGCACCATGAAAACAATAGGGATTGAATTTAAATGCAGGAAAACAAGTCCCTGATACATCAGTGGCCCTATCAGATTGCAATGAAGTTAAGTAATCCCAAATAGAAATGTTTGAAGAACACTAGTTCTGTGTCCCCTGTTCTTTCTAGCCTGAGGCAGCAAGAGGAGCGTGTCTTAGAGCCCATCTGTAGTTGCTTGTAACACAACATTGGCCTGAGGCAGAGGCCACCTTCCAGCTGAATGCCCTTCCAACTCGTCTTGTCCCCTGGACCGTGTACGTGATGGCTGGGCCCCTTAGCCCCTTTCTGGTGGAGGCAGAGAAGAGAAGCTGGAAAGATGGCCAGGTAAAGAGTTCTGAGGAAGGAGGGGAGACTAAGGAGGGATCCACAGGGCGGAAGGAGTTGGAAAGATGGCCAGGTGAAGAGTTCTGAGGAAGGAAGGGAGACTAAGGAGGGATCCACAGGGTGGAAAGAGTTCACAGTCCATTAGAGGAGACCAGAAAGACAAGCAGAAGGAAGAAAGGGAAAGAGGCCATCAAGAAGGCAGCTCTCAGAGTCCAGGCAGTGAACAACAGTCATGGGTCGAAGTTCCCCCCATTCTTTGTCCAGCAGGGTGCCTCTTGCCTGTATGTAATATGGTGTTCACACAATGTCCAAATCACACACCATCCTATTTCACAGGCCGTACTGTGGGTGTTGAGCAATGAACATTGGACTAGTTTTTTAATAAAAACTAGTTGATTAATAATACAGCAATGAGAAATTCCTCCATCTATTTTGCATGAAACTAGAACATGAGTTACCACTCCATTTGCAGTTGCAAAGGGGTCTTACCAATAGAGATGCACTTTTTCTCAAAGTTACTACCTTTGCTATATATATTGCTTTGATTAATGTTGATGAGAATTTTTAAATAGAAGGTGGTAAGCCACACACCCTCAAGAAGTTTTGGAGAAAAAAAAAACCACGGAGTTACTATATGACTTTTTATTGAGATTCTGTCCAAAATGAAACCATATGAAATTAAAATCAACACAACACTAAAATGTTGAATTAGTCATTACAATAAAGCATTATATGTTGACATTGAAATAATGTTCTGTATATTTCAGAGTAGCATCCACTTCCGAAATAGCTTGCCTCTGGAAACCCTATGAACTTGGAGAAATGATGGAAGTCATACAAGGGTTCAGGTCTTTCATTCATAGGGTCACTATGAGTCGTCTACAACTCAACGGCACTTAACAACAACATTTTAGTCTTTGCTCATTAATTAGGTATGTTATATCCAAGATAATTGAATAAATGATGTCTGATTGGCACTGATTTATGAAGGGATCTTGGTATCTGTCTTTCAGGGTTGTTTCTCAACCAAATGATACATAAAAGAAAAGATGTCTTAACTAAAAAACATTAAAAGTCCTAAAGTTACTCAAAATCCTTTTCAGACAAACACTAAAGAATTTTAAATGACAGTGTAGAGTATTTGGGGTCAGGAAGACTGTACTTCCTTTTGATGGGAAAGACTCACAGTTTTAATGGAGACACTTCCTGATACTCACACATAGCTGACAAAACCTGTACAAAAATAGAAGGTTTGACTCACCATGTGTCTCATTTTCAATCCATTTATTGATCTTAAATCTGGTGTCTTCTACATCGTTTGTGAAGTCAACACGTTCCACTCTGGCATTGTATAACTTCTCAGCACACCCAATGAAGTTCTATAAACAAGAATAACATTCTTGTGCTTACCAATCATTATCACCCAAGCACAGCAGCCAACAGTCAGACCAATCTCTGTTGTGTTGAGTCCACCTCATGGCAACCCCAGGTCGTTGGATAGAACTTTGTTCCACAAACATGAGTGACTAATTTTCCTCCCATGTTTCTCCATGTGCATGGAAACTGCCAGTTTTCTCTTTAGAAGCCAAGTATTTAACGAGGTGCAACACCCAAGGACTCCAGTTGAGCATATATAGATAATGAATATTTGAACTTGTCTCTGTTCCATTCTTTTTTGTTGTTGTTCTTCTTTTATTATATTTTTCATTAATTTTAATGAAAGTTTACAGACACTTTGGATTTCATTCATTCATTGTTGCACTTTTCTCCCTCCCCACCTCCCTCACCCCCCGCCCAGTTCGCTCTTATCTTTGAAAAGTAAAAGAAAAATCCTTTCATTTTTATATAATCCCTCTCCCCAAGTCCACTCTATTGTGCAGCCTTCGTTCTGGACTCTTGTCATGACAATAATACCTAATCACATATCCCTTTAAACAGTTCTCTCCCTCTTCTGTTTCAATGCAGTATACATAATTTATCCCATCTTTCTCAGTCTCCCCCCAACCCCGATATCAGTCCTGTTTTCCAGCAGTGGCACCATGCAGTATTTGTCCTTTTCCACTCCCAATGCTACTCAAGAACTGAAGTCTGCCTCAAGGCTGTGCTCTGTATCATCAAGTCGAAATCGACTCACAGCTGACGCTCCATTGTGTTTTCAGAGGCAGGAGTAAATTACATGGGAGAAGGTGCGTGCTCCACAGAGCAGCTGGCTGACTTGAACTGCATTCCTTTGGGTTGGCAGCACAACTCCTTACCACTAAGCCACCACTGCTCCATATTTCCAGATACTAGACCTTGAAATTCTCAGACATATTCCATAACACTTATCAGAAGTCACATAAATTGACCAATTCTTGGTTGTCAGATTTTTGGAGTGTTTTATTTTTTAAATTATTATTGTTGTTTGAGTAAACATTTCCAAAGCACATTGATTTTTCTACTCTATTACTCATACATATTTTGTTTCATAACATGAATTACGATATCCACACCACCATTACACATTCCCCACTTGCTCCATAGCTGTGATATTCATATCTCCTGGGTATGGAAGCAGCCCATTCATTGCCCATGTTACATGAGCATATTGTAATCAATTTAAGTTTGAGTTGCTTTTGATTCTGTGCTACACTAATAATGTTAACTACCCTTGAAGAGATGGATTGACTCAGTTGCTGGGGTCATGGGGTAAGTGTGTCAGAGTCAATAAGGTTGGCTCAGGATAGAGCAGGGTTCAGAGCTGTTGTGCATAGTGTTGCTATGAGTCGCAGGTGACTTGAGGGCACATAACAACAACAACAACAACAACAAAATTTTATCATGCATGCTGGTAGACACACACATTTCTAGTGATTAGAACTTCTGAGTCGTCTGGCCTGTGTGTACCCAATTTTAGTACACATTTAAGAAGAGACAGCTAAGTTGGTTGCAGTGGCTTCCAATTTCACCAGCCAGATAAGTCCGTTCTCATTGCTCCATACCTTCCAGTACTTAGCTTTGTCGGTCTCCTTTCATTTAGCATTTCTGGTAAGAAATAAATCAACTTCTGGTTTTAATATTCATTTATCTAATAATGAGTGAGGTATAGTGTCTTTTTAATATATTTTAGGGTTTTTTAAAAGACTAATAAATTATTAATCTCTGTAAAACTGACCAAGAGAAAAAAGAGATAAGATGTGGATTATTAATATCAGATTAGTGTCACCATAAAGCTTCAAATGCTAGGAATAAATCTAATGAGAGATGTGTTCATTTCTGTCAAAAATATCATTGGTAGGAGAACTTAAAGAAGACTTTAATGATGAAAGGTACAGAAGCTTATTGATAGAATACTCAATATTATAAAGATGCCAGTTGTCTTCATATTTCTATCCAAATATAAAATAATTTTTATCAAATGTATAAGCTGATTAAAAAATTTATATTACATGAATCAAGAAAGTAAGAACATTTTGTATAAATAATTTTAAAATAAAGGCCTATTTGCAGTGAATAGATCATTGAATATGCAGACTTCTAAAAAAAATTTTAAAAAATAAAGGCCTAACATTATTGGAAATTAAGGCTTAAAAATTACACTAATAAGAATTAGTGATTTGTGTGCACATATAGTTCATATGTTTGATCAGGAACGAGATATTTACATAGTAATAAAAAATCCCCAGGACCTATTTAAGTACAAATTATAAAACTAAAATTTTACAACGAAGGAAGCTTGTAAACATTACTTTAACTAAATGATCAAAGTTAACATTACCAGCAAAAGGGTAAATAAAATACTGCTAGAAGGTCTCACCTGTGATATTTCCACTAAATATATATAGCCTATTTTTAATCATAAAGAAATATCACAAAACAGCAGAGAAGGACACTTGGGGAAAAACCCAAATCATTATCCTAGAGCTTTCCAAATAATAAACAAAAGCATCACAGCTATTAAAGACAAGGGAAGTTTTAAGAAACTCTTCCAAATGGAAAGAAACTGAAGAGACATAAGGACCAAATACAATGCATGATACTGAGTCAAATCTCATTGCCGCAAGGAATAATGTTGGGATAACTGGTGAAACAGGAATAGATTTTACTATTTTGCTGATAGTAATTGAACAACCTTATTATTATTTTTTTTATTTTGATGGTTATATAGAAGAATGTCATTGTAGCAATCACATTCATGGTATCTCAAATAGTCTGCGGGGGGAGGGGAGATGGACATTTTCATGAGTTTTAAGTTATTTCCAAACAGTTTTCTTTTTAAAAAAAAAATAGAATACTGACGTAACAGATTAATAGGTCTTTTTTCCAAAGGGACTGTGTAAGGTAGATTAAAAGAATTCAGAGATGACTCAGACAGCTGGTGGGTCATGCATGGAAAAAGAGCAGGGCATTATTTTTATTGTAGGAGTATGCAATGAGGGTTTCAGAGTGGATTATATTTGGGGGTAGGGGGTGGGGTTTGGGGAGGTGCGGGGGGGAGATTGTGTACCAATGAGGGAGTTTTTCTTTTGCTTTTCAAGGAGAGGAGCAAATGGGGGGGGAGGGGTTTGTGCGGGGAGAAGGGTGCAACAATGAATGAATGGAATCCCAAAATCTCTGTAGATGTTCATTGAAATGAAAAATAAACAACCTAAATTTTTTAAAAAAAAGCATGAGAGTGAGATAGACCATGCTTGAGGTGGGGGTGGGGAACAGGCCCCCTTGGGGGCCAACGGAAGAAGAGCCAACATGGGCATTGGAAAGTTAATGTATTTAAGAACCATTGGATTTGCATTTGAGAACATGCATTAGTGTACATGAGGCTTTCCGTGAAAAGTGTGAAACGAGGCATTACACAGAACTGGGCAGAGGTAGAGGACAACATCAAGGAACTGTACACTGTCAAAGTGGATAACCTTAGGCTTAAACTGTACACAGAAAAATGTAGATGCCTGAGCAAAGAGCCTGAAAGGATTAGAGTGTTGGATCTGGTTGGAAGAACACAATGAACAAAGAACCCCAAGGAGGAGATAGAAAGTCAAGAGCAATCAGAGCTGTGAGAACCAAGGAGCAGGGGCAGCGTTAGGGAGAGCCCATAGTACTGCAATCTATAAAGAAGCGGGTAAGATAAAAACTGAGAGGGTTCACAACTTGCATGTCCATATGGTGATGAATAGTCTCTTTAATAAGAAAAGTTTTAGAAGAGCAGTTAAGGTAGAAGCTAGGATGCAGAAGACTGAGAAAAGAGAGTGAAAATGAACTCAGTATCTGTAGGTCACATTTTGAAGATACTTAATTTTGTCAAGTTTAGATACAGAAGAATGGCAAGAGAATGTTTTTTGAAAAATCAAAACTATGAGAAAGTGTGCAAAGTGAGAAACTTTGAGAGAAGAGTCATAAGTGACAGGAGTCCAGGATGAATATTAATGAAACTAAAATCACTGAGAAAATGAGAGGAATAGCAAAGGAAAATAGTAATGGAGGAATTGATCATGTAGAGAGGTCTTTTCCAGAAGTTAATGGGATGAGGGAAAGGAATCAGAATACATGTGGGTAGAAATATGGAGGCTTTTTTCTTGCTAATGGCCCTTATTTTTCTCTATCCAGTAGAAGGCATGATCTTTCTTTGAAATGAACAGTAGGAGAGTTGTTAGAGATTTGAGAGTGAAAAGAAAGCTTAGAGTAACTATAGTCACTATTGCTGCTGTTGTTGTGTGGCATCAAATCAGAATCAACTCACAGCTGACCACCCTGGAGGTTTTCAGAAGATGCAAATTACACAGGAGGAAACTGCTCTTTCTCCCTCAGGGCAGCTGGTGGATTCAAACCACATGCCTTTGGGTTGGCAGCACAATTTCAATTCAGCATCGATTCTGAATCTAGCTGAAATGGGAGAGTATGGTGGTGTGGTCACAAGTACCTTACAGAAGAGCTGAAGGAAGAAACAGAGATGAATCTGTGTTTGAAGCTCCTCTGTGGGAAGGAGTGGATTAACAACATGGTGCTTAAAGAATGAGCCCATGTGGTGGTTTGGTATGGAAATGAAGTCAGGAGAGAACTGATATATGGAGAGAAAATGAAGAGCTAAAAAGGGTGACTAATTCAATTAAGCTGAAAAGCAAGTTGAGTGAAAATCAAAGAATGAGAAGGTAGAGGATTGTGGCCACAAAGAAGGAAGTCGGAGCCGCAGATTTCAGTAGTGGGTATTGACGAAGGAGAGCTCTAAGAAGGGCCCATACACAGCAGTTATCAAAATGACATGGAGCGGAGGTCAGGCAACTGGACAGAGAAGTTTGGTGAGTTATTCATGGGAACACAGAAGTTAAACAAAATGGTAGCAGAATTGGGAAGTTTGATATAGGATGTAAATGAATCTAATGACAAAACATCATCAGCAAGGATTGAAGGAAGACGGAGAAGAAAATGTCATAAAACACTGCAATTGTCAAGATCCATCCTTAAAGACTCATCTACATTCAAGTATGAGTAATAGTTAAATTAAATATAAATATTTCAGAGATTATATAGTTTGCACTGATCTGAATCAAAAGTTGGCAATCATTTGCATTTTTTAACCAAAAGCAGTAGTAGTAAAACTAGTTGTATTTAAATATCTGGGTGGGAAAAATGGCTGTGTCTGTTTTCCATTTCCTTGATCAGATTTCACTTACTGTCTGGGTGCATTGATTTTTACATATAACTAGTGCCAGAAAAACATGGAAATTTGCTATCAATAGTCACATAATGAGCAGTTCAGCTTTCAGTTTGAAGAACTGGAAATCTCTTGGAGGCTCCGTAGTGTAGAGACACACACGTGGAGTTGTACTTAGAAGGGTGACTCCTATGAAGTTTGCATAGGATTCTTCTGAAAACATTTTCTTTTTTAAAAAAAAGGAATATATGATTAGGTATTATTGGCACAACAAGAATCCAGAATGAGAGCTGCATAGTAAAGTGGTCAGGGGAAGGGCGGGGGACTGTGTAACAATGAAAGAACTTTTTTCCCAAAGAAAAAAAGTGAACTGGGTGGGGGGGCGCAGGGGGCCAGGGAGGAAAATGTGTAACAATGAATGAATGGAAATCCAAGTTCTTTATCAACTTTCATTAAAAACTCAATTTAAAAAAAATACAGACAAAAAAAAAAAAAGTGGCCCAATGCTTCATGGTTTGCCAGCTGCCAAAGGAATGGGGAGTGGTGCTGGGAAGGGGTAAAGAATTTGAGTGGGTGACAGACAGAGGGAGCAATTAATGATGGGGTGGGACACAAAGCTGGCAGAGATGGAGGTGGAGATAAGCCCAGCAGTGAGCAGTGTCAGTGAGGTGGAGTTTTACGGTCATCTGAGAAGTGGATAATTAAAAGGGAGACCAAACATGTCCAGAAAATCATGACTTCTGCGTCTGCTTGAATAGTTCTTACAAGGAAGCCGCTTCTGGCTGTTACAGCACAGACGGTTTCCCAGTATGAGTAGTGCTTAATAGGACACGGAATGTGGTCCTGTCCTCGCTGGTCATTGGGAGGACTGGAATGCAACGATAGTGCATTGGTTACACAGAAACTATGCAATGATGTTCAAAATCAGGATGCTGACCCCAGACGAGCCCGTTTCCCACTTCTATCGAGTCTAGTCTGCTTCCCTGAGATCTGATTATGCCAAACTACACCTAACCCCGCTATCATCAAGTCCGTTCAACTCACAACAAGCCCTTAAGACACAGTGCAGCAACCCTGCAGGGCTTCCAAGGCTGTAAGCTGTCCGTGGAATACTGCCATGTCTGTCTCCTATGGAACCGCCGAGGAATTCAACTACCAACCCGTGATCCGCAGTCAAGCACTTTAGTCACAGTGCCACCAGTGAGTCTAAGCTAATGAGGCTTCCCAAGAACTAGAAAGTGATAGTGGAAAGATCACTGCAGAGGGGGCGAGTGCTAGGCATGGCTGAGGGGAGAGAAGAATAGACTAAAAGAATTCAGCACTGAGGAACAAAGGTGTTCTAGCAGGCTCAGCTCAGGAAAACAGAGAGATGTTTCCTCTGCTGTTCATGCCAAGCCACTGTTCTTGAGTTGACTCCGACTCTTGGAAGCAGACAGAGTGGCCATCCGCCCAGGATTTCCAATCCCCTCCAAGGGGTTCACAAAGACTGCTCTGTGGGCATAGTCTGCAGGAAGCTAACTAGTACTAACTATACTAACTTGGATCTGTGACAGGAAGACATGTGTCTCCTTTCCTATGATCTACAGCCTCTGAAAACCCGCTGGACGGTCAGCGATTTGGATGTGACTTCGTGGCAATGAGTTTTTTGAATTTGAATTTTTACAAAAGCAGATGCCACATTGTGAACTTGTTAGTAAGACTGAACTGCAGACCTTTCAGTGACCAGAAGAGCCTTTAACCACCATACCTTTAGGTCTCTTTTGCGCCCCATGGAAACCCCAAAACCAAATATACTAATTCAGACTCATGACGTCTTTCTGGAAGATGGTACTGAGTCTTTCCCTCAAGGAGTGGCTTGTGGATTCAAACTGCTGACCTTTTGGTTATTAGCAGCCTAGCACACAGCAATATACCACCATGACCAATGGGGTCCACAAACCAAACCAAATATCCCTTATCACTAAAACTGACCTCCTTCACATTTCCAAAGCTGTAAATATTTAAGGGAAACAACGTTCTCCTGAGGGGTACGCAATAGGTTCAAACCACCAACCTTATGGTTAGCACCCCAACTACCCTCTCAGGGCTCCTCCAAATGGGCTATCTACTCTTCCCCCAACCCAAAGACAGCTCAACATGATGCCAATAGGAAAGTTCACTCTCTGGTTTTGAGTCCTCCTCTCTGGGGAACGTGAAAGTGTACAAAATTGTGTACTGGTACAAGAGAGATTTTCTAAATACCCCAAAACATGATTTGCAGAGTTACGAAAAACAAACAAACAAAACAACAACCACCAATCACCTTGTTATGGCTCAAGAGAAAGACAGAAGCCATTATTCAGGTGACATGTCAAACAAAAATCAGGAGACATCACTTACCTTATGAATATCAAACACCTTTTCTGCAAAAATACCATTGGCTATATTGAGTTCATAATCATTGTGGGATGAGTTGATATCAGATAGAACTCTTTTCAGCTGAGCTTGGAGTCCTGGCTGATATTTTAAAAAGATTTATAATAAGTTATTCTCAGACTGTGAAATTATACAATCTCGCCAACACATCAAATGAAACACATACATGGGACCATACATATATTAAAAATAATGATTCTACTAAAGCACCAACTAATATGACATTAATCTACAATTTCTAAATTGTTATTTAACTCAAAAGGGGTAGGAATTCAAATCATTAGTTGTCAATCATGGGTTTAGGCAAAATTTTCACCTTCTATCCATTACTGTCGCTACTGCTCTGGATTTCATGTTTTATGAGTTTGGAATTTTCTAAATCCATCTCATACTCAAAGCTTTGAAGTCTTGCTTTTAGTATCACAAGAAGTTAACTGTGACAATCAATGGTAACTAATATCTATGAATGATTTCTAAAAAAATTAATATGATTTATAAACTTTCACCTTTCACAAAAATTAAAAAATGAAATGAAGACAAGTCAATGATCATAATCACTGACTTGAGGGGTTAGAAAATTTTCAAGATATCAATTATTTAAGCAGATGTCTCTTTTAAATAGAGCTTGATGACTCAGGTTGAGATTCTTGAGGCTCTGAGATTCCCTTTCTCTTCCTTAACTACTCAGTAGATGTGAACAGACCCCAGGGAAAAGAAAGGATAAGAAAGTGAGGACCATGAACTAATTTCAAACCTGTTTGAAAATAAGATATATTCACAGAGACAAATTTAGGGAGATTATGTCTAAATTCTAGTTTTTACTATCTCAAATTGACAATGATACAAAATGTTCAAATGTTATTAAAATTACCATCTTTTAACTTTATCATTTAAAAAATATTTTAAAATTATTCTTTCAAAGGACTTTGAATATAAAATATAAGTACAAAATATAAAAAGGATAGTAAGTTAGTATATCTGCTGGTCTTCCACGAATGTATGGCGACTCATACCTACAACTCTATACTCTAAACTATGAGAGAGAACTTGATTGAATTTCATTCCAAGTTACCTATGCATGACTGGAATAAGAAAACAAATGGCAGAAAGGGAACTGAAGCATCAGATAAAGACATACATTTCTTCGGATCTACAACTAATATCCACATAAATACTTGCACATTATCTAACCAATGACCTTTGTTTCTTTACTCTCTCATTTATTTAAAGAATACTTACTGGGCATTGGGATAAGAATTAGGGATGGGAAAGCTTAAGATGTGGACTTTAACCTCAATGGACTGGTCTGCATTCAATGGGATCATCTATAATGTGGTTACGAATATTATGTTCCTTTGAGGTTTTCCAAAAGCCCAAGAATAGATTTGTCTTTAAATCTTCTCTAAGTAAGTACTTAAAGCTCTACAGCTGTTTTCAAAAGTAGGTATTTTCTAATAGAAATCCATTCAAACTCTCTGCCTTGATCATTTTAATTCATGTAAGAGCACTGTGTGTTTCTTTGGCACTACAGATCCAGGGTGTCTACCCCAACTAGACCATCTAGACTGAATATTGACTTGACTAATTAAGCATCAATCTGTCTCCCAAAAGAATAAAATGTACACAGTAATTAGGCATAGTTGACTGCTAAACAAGCTATCCAGAAGACCTTAATTAAAGTTATGTTTTTACATCCAATTTTTACTTTTCTGTTTCATCTCCATCAACAACTACTTCCAACTAGATATCTTCCTTCTTATTTGTTTTTCTTAGCAAAAGCTGTGGACCACTGTCATACTCTTTCTTGACTCTAACCTTTGGGCCAGAGCCTCACTGGCAAATGCAGCAGAATGATGATATTAACCCATTTATGAACGATGGTTCTGTTTTCTATTTTCATTTTAAAGCTAAATAGCCATTTTTAAGAAAAAGCTTAATTTATACTGTTAACTGAGGAAAGAAAATGAAATGTCTACAGATTCATGAATTCAGTAATTCTTCAAGTTGGAACTAAACTGAGTAGTGGAAGAAAACAAAGTTCTTCTAGTTGTATCTCTGATCAAACCTAACTAGAGTTTGTGAATAATTAACATCTTGGAATAAAATGATTAATCGAAGATAATTCATTTTCTCAATATGTACACAAACTTATTTATTATACTAATTTAAACTGGCTGTGATTGTCATAAGAGAAACCAAAACATTCCACTCCATGCTATCTTGCCAAAATCCTATCAATACAAGAATGGCTAGTAATTAACAAGTAACTCACTGACGTTTCCATTTGAAATGTCCACAGTGGAGAAAATTAAATTAACATTATCACTTATATTAGAAAAATAGAGAACATATCTTAATATATACATGAGACAGCATTTTTTTTTCTTAGCTTATCTTCACATTTCAAAGAGCGTGGTCTTTACCTCCTGAGTCTGAGAAGTATTTCCATGTCTAGAGTCAGCATCAAAGTGGAGTACCTGAAAACAGGCCACAGAGATAGAGCTGTCAGAGTCATGGGATGCTAGTGGAGGAGTCACAGGAGGCCTTAAATATGAAGGTCTTTCTTTCCTATTAATTTCCATCCAAAGCCCCTACTTTGCAAAACTATGTCACTGAATTAACTGTATCATTGACTGAGATGCCAAGGAGAGAATCAGGCTCCATTTTTCATCTTCATTACATTTTCTTCTTTGCCCACCTCCTGCTATTCTCAAGTATACCAGGATTTTGGAATTTGTGTTCATTTGCAAACAAGCTTTAGTGACCTTATTTATAGGCATAATCTCTTTACCCAATAGTTCAAACACAGATGTCAATGCTACCTTGTTTTCTCCTTCGGATTCAACATTGAACCAACATCATATGCAGCCAGCTGACTATTACCCCTTTCAATACGGTCAGTGAAATGCTACCCTACCAACCACTGGCTGGTGATCTATGGAATGGACAAATCTCCTTAGCTTCATTATCTACTTACTGGAATGAGCTGAAAACTGTAATACTAAAATCTGAGCCATCGCTTTGGGCCTTTTGGCTAAATCCAAGTGTGGGATCTGGTTTTATCACTTTAAAATCTGAGCCAATATAAATCAATTCATCAATTCATGTGTTCATTTAAATATGCATTTACATGATACATACCAGATTTCCTTCTTATTTCTCTTTTGTGATTTTGAAATGTCAAAACCCATTCAATCTATAAAACTTTAAAACCTACTTAAATTCCACTACTTATAAAAAAAGTGTACAAAATCAGCATGAAAATTCCTAGTATGACATGTTAATGTGAACATCGATAAAGTATTATTTGATGAGATTATTCCAGGTCCTTGTATAAATGAGATTCTCAGCAATTCACTGCTGTTGCTATTTCTTTGAAAGAAGATATTCCATGTGCGGGAGATTTGGGGCCACTCCAACTTTTAGAAAAAGCACAGTCTTGGATTCTGTGTAGATATTCCCTAGCAACAAAGACTCACTGAACTTTGCCAATATAGAATTATTCTAGCTTAAGTTACCTGCACAAGTGGCCTTCCTCAAGTGTGAGGGTTGTGAAAGGAAATTGTGGCCCGTCAGCCATTGGACAGGAGAGATGTGGCAGCCTGCTTCTGTAAGGTGTGCAGCCTGGAAGCTATGGGACTGGTTTTTGTTGTTTACTATAGAGTTATACAGAGTTGCCGGGAGCCAGAATTGGCAGGCCAGCATGGGGTAGATTGATTTTTGCTTGCTTTCCCCCCTCTCTAATAATGGTCTGTCTGTAATAGATAAATGCAAGTAAATGTTTTCTTAGTCTGAAAAAAAATATATATACTAACCCTCAAACTCATTATAATAGACTTGGAACTGACTTATAGCTGACCTTTCATTGGTTTCCAAGTCTATAAATTGCACAGGAGGAGATTACCCATCTCTCTCCCTTAGAGCTAATGGTGGATTCAAACTGCCGTAGAAGTAAATTTATGGCTTGGAAGTACAGCCTTTTATGGACTAGATCACCAGAGATCCCCATTTTTTCCCCCTTAGGGAAGAAACTTTGCCAACGTGATTAATTGGCTCAAACTGTGCACGGCAGCTTAGCTGAGACCAACCTTATCAATCTGAGATGCACAGTCCCCTCGGGCCCCCAAGCGGACCACCGCCAGGGCCGTGAAGAGGCTCAATGAAGAGAAGAAGGCATTTCCGTTCCCTTGATTGTTATCCAGTTCTCTGAACAAGTTGAAGCAAAACTCTCCGTTTGCTGCAGCAAGGGAGGCCATTGTGATACGGAGGGCAGCCTGGAAGTCAAGCAGAGGATAGTTAATGCCAGTGGGCTGACTGCATATTTGGGTCTTTGTATTCAGATGTGCTTTCACTCAAAGCCTCATTTCTTCAGCTTCATATTTAGCAGAAAAATACGTTGTTGTTGTTGTTGTTGTTGTTGTTGTTTTGTGCCATCAAGTTGCCTGCAACCCATAACAACTCTACGTACAATAATTCTGAATCCTGATCTAGGCCATGGTCTTCACAATTACTTGCTATGCTCCAGAGAGCTGGAGAATGACTAAGAATGACAGAAGAATAAATGCCTTTGAGATGTGGTGCTAGAGAAAAGTATTGAACATACCATGGACCGTCAAGAGAACAAACAAGTCTGTCTTGGAGAGTGTGAAACCAAGTTTCTCTTTGAAGGAAAGAATTCTGAAGCTCTGTCTCACACACTTTAGGCACGTGGCCAGGAGGGACCAGTCCTTGGAGAAGGACATCATGCATGGAAGAGAAGAGGGACAGTACAGGAGAGGAAGACCCAGAGTGAGATGGATTGACATAGTAACTGGGGTATGGGAGATAGGAGTGCCAACAATTTAAAGCTTGATTGTCATTTGATGCAATGACATTAAAACAAACTCACTATTTTTCCACATTGAGATCCCTTAATGCGATGTTTCTACCTCTGCACACATGGTCACATCTTGGGCACGTGATCTCCCATGATGATCTCTTCAGTTCCCAAACAGACCCTGTCATGGGACCTGTTATTTCTCAAATCACCCCAGATTTCTAAGCTGATACAGAACTAAGGCACTGAACTATTTGCTGTCCACTACACTGAGCTCAAAGGAACGAGGTGGTGCCCAGCCACCACTGCTGCCTACTGACCACTTCATAAAACGATCAGAGTGATCTTAGCATATGAGGAATATAATTAATGTCATAAAGGAATATTTGTCTGAATGCTTGAATAAAAACCTGATTACTCTGTAGACTTTCACTCAAAGTACAGTAAAATAAATTGTTACAGTAGAGATATGTCTATTTGAAGAGCTAGCGTCTCCATAAACATGATCTAAGCACATATGCGTCTTAGAGTGTTCTAGTGGCCTAGTGGTAAGGAGCTGTGCTGTCAACACCAAAATTAGCATTTCGAATCTACTAGCTGCTCCATGGGAGAAAGATGCAATCTCCTTCCACGTGATTGACCTCCTCTGAGAACCAGCGGGATTCTAAGCTATGGGTCTGTTCCGACTCAATGGTACATTAACGACCAACATGCGTCTTAGAAATTTGCTTTTTTTTTTTTTTTCAGGAATGTTATACTTTCAAGTGGCATGCTTCTTTGATCCAATTGGTGTATTTCTTCTTTTCAGACTATTTCGTGATTATTTTGTTGCTGTACAAGATGTTCACTTTAGAGTGTATATTATGAAAGTGCATAAGCTGTACAAGACATAGGTCTCTAACCTAAGTTCTCTCACCCCTTGGTTGTAATAGTTTACAAACTAGGACAACAGTGATCTCCTCCCACTACCAATTATGTTGTTTCTGAAATGTGCTGGGTTGCTGCCACTATGAAAGTTTTCAGGGATCTGAAATTTTCGTATTTTCACCACAAAGCTCAAACTGATCTAATAGCACAGTGTCTGGGGTGAAAATTATTTGCATTGATAATCCAGATTGTTCTAGAAGCACTGTGGCATGACCATGATTTTACATGCAGGACTGTGGTGGGTTCCAAGAGTCCTAGAAAAGAAACTGGGAGACCTCACATTAGCACCAGCTCTGTTACTGTTAATTGTCATTTGGCTGTCTTGAACTTCTCTGAACCCCTACATTATCCTCTTACTCGTGGGAAACTATGTATCATTCCATCCAGCCCCCTCTTACAAAAGGAGTGTGCCCAAACATTAGACATTTCCATGGCATGGTGGATTACACGAGAAGGTGGTAAAAAGGAAGATACACGTAGTGTCAAAAAGAATTTTTTAAATGGCAACTGTATTGACTTTGTTCTAACATACGTAAAACATTTCGAAATTACAAATGACGTTAAATTTGTTAGAATTTTACTCTTTCCAAATGACGTTTAAATAGGGGGAGGAAAATGAGATGCCCTGTTTTATTATAATGCCTGGCCCATTGTAAGTGTTCAGTGAATTGAAGCTGCTGCTGTTCTATGTAAAATGGTGATAACCCGTACCATTCAAAAACACCACACATTGGACATTTCCAGAGTGTTCCAGAGGGACCTGCACTTTGCATTTTGTGATCCAAGTTCCAGGAATATCCCAGAGACGCAGCGCCATAAAGGAAGCTGTTCTGCAGACTCCAGGACAGTGACAGTCAAGTCCCTCTAAAGCCCACTTCTCAGCTATACCTCAGTACAAGGTGAGGAAAGCTCCTCGTTCACACCCCACAACAACCCTCATGCCAAGGAAGAAGGACCTAAGTGACCTGTGGCCGCCTGGAAAAGGAGCACGGATTTCCCAGCAAGTCCAAGCCATCCAGGTGAAGAGGGGGAGCAGCTGGGAATGAAGCAACTGGGAAAGCCTGTCCTGGCAAAGGAGAGAATTGACCAAAAGGAGGCATGCGATAGGAGTTCAGGGTTCTGGACAACTTCACGCAATAAGTGCTAATGTCCGTGCCCAAGGCCCACGGACTGTTCAAGGACTCAAATATTCCAGATCTGAAAAGAAAGGACAGATTCCACGTGGTTGGAGTTTTGAGGGTTGTTTGTTGTGGGTTTTTTTAATTGAAAAAGAATGTTTATCAGGTAAAAATTAACAAGTATGCAATTAAATGTACTAAAATTCAGTCTGAGTTAATGTTAATATTAAGCTTGGTCACAAGAATTTTAACACTCTTCGGAGAAAATTACAGCAAGATTATCATCAGGAGGATTCCAAGATTTCATGATGATAGCCAGAAATGAGTCATGCCGCACAGGTATCTTCCAAAAATTTACATGAAAATTCCATTTCTAGATTCCAAAGTGGGGAAAAAAAATACTTTGTGGTATGTTTTTCTTTATTCACATTTCCATGTTTCTTATTGCTTCACATGTTATGTCTTAGTATTTTACCCCTCATGGGATATCCTGGCATGTTTTATAAATTATCCTTCAGTCACTTTCTAAGCAGCTATCACAAATTTCCTGTAAGTCCTCATGATGGCTTTTCACGAAACCCTCATTGTGTTGTAGATAAAAGAAGCTCCAAAGATATATGCTCACTCGGATGACAAAGCGCATAATCTCTACAGTTTCGGTAAACTTCAAGGACGAGAATCCACACTAAGAAAGAGTGATGACAGAGAAATAGGAACCGAGACATTGCTACATGATTCTAAATGCCCAAGCAATCGTTTAAAATCTAAGTGCTACTAAATAGTATATACTTAAGTGTTCCTGCTCAGGCATGCTCATGTGCTTTGAACTTAAATACCAAGAAGATGTTCCACCTCATTTATTTGTTTTTATTATCCTTCTCTATGCAGGTGCATTAGAGTTTCACGAAATGTAAGCAAGACTCTTTCCTCCATCTGATATAGATTTGGAATTCCAGTGGCAAACAGAGAATGCTTTTTTAAGGCTGAACAAATTGTTTTACACCCTCTGGCCTCATCAGAAGACAAATCAATGTACGTTAGCATTGCGCTCAAGCTGTGATTTTCATTTCATAACTACTCTGTACAACAACTTCAAAAAAGTAAACCAAAGGCAGCAACAGAAGTAGGCGACATTAAAACAAGCTGTGAAGAAGCATCTAGCGATCTGGATTCCAGTTAGACTAAAACCACCGCCATCAAATTGATTCCAACTCATTGTGAAGGTCAAGACAACATGCACCTCATATGGGATTTCTGAGGCTCTACGTCCCTACCGAAGGGCACTCCTTCGCCTTCCTCCCATGGAGAGAGGTCAGTGTTTGAAGTACTGATGTTGTGATGGAGGGGCTGCTTTACGCACTGCACCACCAACGCAAACAAATAAAATCATCCACTGCCATCAAGTCTTTGCCTGTTCACAGGGACCCTCCAGGGCAGAGCAGAACTGGCCTACAGGACTGCCAAGGCAGTAAATCATGGCAGAAGCTGAATGCCCCTGAGAGTTTCATCGGCTGACAATTTTCTTAGCATCCTTGAGCTCCTTTAAGAACTAAAGGAAAATCTATTTCATGATAAACAGCTGCAGAAGAAGGTGCACTATAACCCCACCCAGCAGTCGATCTTCAGTAGAGCAGTGTTCTTTTCAAATCACTAAAGAATTTCAGAGATTAGCTTTTCATTTAAGATACATCCTTTTCTTAATGCTTCTTACATCAGTGGTTCAATATGCAAGTATACAATTAATTTCTAATTCTTGAATTATCACAAATGAACAAGTAGGCCTCAAGATTGTGAGGTTCTAGACTTAAAACCAGAGAGTCTAAACTCTACGATATCCTAGAGTTTAATTGTGAGTATGGTATATTTTAACCCAAAACCTTTTTGACCCCATCCTACTTCTTGTCTCAAAACAAACCCAACTCATTGTGGTCAAGTAGAAACTGACTCCTAACTAAGCCTGCATTGGGGTTCTGGAGGCCGCAAATCCCAGACAAAATTGATCATCTTTCTCCCATGGAACAGCTGGTGGACTTGAACTACCAGAGAAGCATCCTTTGGGTTAAAACTTCCCACAAACTAGGCCATCAGAGCTCTCTGGCTTTTCGTAAAACAGAACATTTTCAAAAAGTCTAATAAAGACAAATGGTTAAAAATGGCCACTGGGAAAAAAACCACAAAAACAAAACAAAACAAAAACCCACTGCAAAAGCAGACACAAAACACATTTAATGAAACATGAAATACAATGCAACAGTTCATCCTAAACCTACTGTACTTCACTTATATTTTTGACAAACTATATACTTTGAGTATGCTGAAAATATTGACAATACCAAGGACTGCTGAAGAAACAAACTTTGAAAGCAGTGCAGTCAAAATGCATCTTAGAGGTGAG